ATTAACCACAAGTATCAGGTAGAAATTTACATGATATACATATTAATTAATAACAAACCAAATTTCATATTAAATGAATTTGTGTTAAGACAAGTAAAAATTCTGGACAAATACAAAAAGCAAAAGCAATGAACCAAAACCAAATTTGGCCAATTGCCAAAAATCACAACAAAGTTGTTAAATGCCAAAAACTAACAATATAATATATTGAAACCAAAGTTGTCTTCTACTTTCCTATCTATTTTGCATAATATAATGCAAATTTCAGTATAAAAAATAGCAACTGCTTATAAAAATAACTACTCCTCTGATCTTAAATATAAAACTTATTTTGTAATGTAATTTATATTATAAAATGAATATTATATTTAGAAGAAGAGAAGTAACATCTTTTGAAGAAGATTTTCCCTCCCTCCTTTGAATCAAATTTCCCATTTTCCAAATTTCAGAGATAGACGGATCCACTATATATGTAATTATTATTCCTCAAAAACGTGCCCTTTTCCTTTCCCTTTTCCTTTTCCTTTGTTTCAGCAGCCTAATGATCATAACATGTTACCCTCCTGTGTATGCTTGTTTGATATTTAAATGAAATGGCCAATAAAATAAATCTGAGAACAATAAGATTAAAATATACATAATATCCCATCAAGTTTACGGCGGTACTACGTACAAGTGAAAGAGTCGGTAATTATTTAGTGAAAGAAGCATAGGATGATAGGATATTACTCCTTCGGTTGATTATTAATAGGATATTTTTAACGGCTTTAAAGATGAATGCAATTTGTTTTATGTCCCTAAAATGTTTTGGTCTTTTGAAGTATACCTTAGCAGGGCTTAAATAAATTTTTAATTTGTCAGGAGTATTTTCGGAATAAGCACATTAATTATTAGCAATATTCCACAAAATACCTTATAAATTAAGATATAAAATTTTCATAATATTTCTTATAATAGCAAACATGACGAATTTTTGCATACAACTTAGAGGAGACTATAATTTAGCTATCCATGCAAACTAACACTGGATTCGAGGTTAATTCTCCACCTGGGGATGAAATAGCAGACTACTTAGTTGTTATTACCTCTGATCTTTATCTTAATATAAAATCTAGTTAACTAATTTAGATATTTAAAAAAATTACTAAATTACTTAATTATGTTATATGATTTTTCTAAAATACTTATATGTATTATTAGATTATATATCAATTCATAAGCGGGACAAATTAGTTTGGAAAAAAATGACAAACATATATTTTAAAGTAATTTAATAACTTTCTTAATTTGTTTCAAATTGGTCAACTAGATGTAGTATTATTGAAAGAAAGTAACTAAGATAGTCAAAGAAGAAAGAAAATACCAGAAGTGAAGAAAAGAAAAGAAAGAACGAAAATAATGTGAAGACAAGAATAAGAGGGGAGGCAGGTAAATCAGTAAATGGGATGGTGGGAAAGGGAAGATAGCAAAAGGCGTAGTTAGTTAGGGATTGTGTGGGATTTATTGCTGTTAATAGCAAAATACCGCAAGCAAAGGCCAATTCGGTAGCTGCACCAACCTAATTTTTGATGCCCCATCGCGTCCCCATCAAACCCATAGGCTGCTAAGCCCCACGTTGTTAGCTCTTACCACGTGTTTACCCTAATTGAGAAATTTGTTTTTATTCTAAATATAATACTCGTATCTCAATTTATTTTTTTCCTCAGAATATTTATGTTGACTATATATTAAAATATGTTTCTTTCAATAAAAATAATTATAGATATATTTTAAGAGAATTAATATATGTTTGTTATAAATAATTTATTTAGTAATTTTATTAATTATTAATATATGTTTACCTCCTGATTTTAGGGTTGAAGGGAGTATAAAATTTGACTCTAAATAAATAAGATGCAATTTTTTCTAATTAGATTAATTATTTCTTCTGATAATTCTCCTATTTATTAGGGCATTTTTATCTCTATATATTAATTTTCAATGTTTGAATGTGGGAAAGATTTTGAACAAGCATCTCAATTCTTTAAGTATTTATTACAAATAATTATATTGAATATTTTTCTAATTGTAACAACTCACTAAAAGAATTTTTACTCCAGCAAGTACCTATAATACATTCAATTTCCAAAATCTTACTCCCTTAATCCTTTATATATATATATATATATATATATATAAACAACTATCATTTTTACTTCGTCTTTGTTTATAAAAAACATTTGTAAAATGTTTTAAGTTTTTTTGGTTAGTTTTCCATTTTGTCCCCATTTATCACTTGTTTTTAATAATAATTAATATATTTATTATCTTATTTTTCAAAGCATCTTTCTCTTTATTTTAATAATTTTTTTTATTTTTCTCTTATATTCTTTCTTTATCATAAATAAAGATATCGTTAAGAAAATTTTTTATAATTTTGACATATTTATTAGTTTTAATCAGTTTTAACTAGCTTATCAAATTTTTTTTTATAGATATGGAGGGAGGGAGAGCATAACATGAACATTTCTCACGCTGCGCGTTGTATCGGTCACTTTTAACTTGTCTATTCACGCTAAAATTCTTCCATGAAATTACGAATTTTTCTTTGCGACGCAATTTAGAATTTTGGCCCTGTTAGAGTTCTTTTGGGGTAACATTAAAAAAATAGAATTTAAATTGCATCTGTCCCCAGTCCTCACCACCCAATTCTTTATGGATTTATTCCACTCATTATCCCCTCCTTTTTCATTATTCTTTCTCCATTTCTATACCTTTTTGGCCCCAAAAACCATAGAAATTGTATTTTCTTTTATAATTAATATAATTCTTTAAATTTCAAATAATCGATTTTGATTTTTAAACAGCAAAATTATCTTTATAGCTTAAACACATGTTAAGAAACAGGAGTCTTATCTCTCTATAATTAATATTGGCAGGAATTTAAAAGCTCAAACCCAACCCTAAATTGAATCTATTTATCATTGATTTAGGAGATGTTTGAAATTACGTTTAAAAATATTTATAAGAACGTCTCACGTAATCCTTTTATGATTTGATATAGTGTTCTTTGGATAATTTTAATAAAACATTCTATCCATTTTTTTTTTTTGCCAAAAAACATTCTATCCATTTGAGTTAATGAAAATTAAAAAATCATTCTCAATAAGATCATTATATTTATATACATATAATCTTTGGTTTCTACTTTTGGAAAATAAAAAATCCTTTTGAAAAGATTTCAAATGTCAAAACCGTTGGAGTAGTTTGTTTCCCTTCCCAAAGTCAATTTGCAATGCTTCTCTATTTCAAAAATTAATCTGAATTGCTTTTCAAAAGTTATATTTATTTTTAAACAAGTCTCAATTTTTTTTTTCAATAATAAAAATTAGTTTGGGTTACTTTTTAACCCGCTTACCAAGCTGGTATTTTTTAAAAAAATTATCCAAATATAAATTTTGTAACAGGAGCTAATTTTTATCAAATTTAATTTTAATAACTAATTTTTTATTATTTTTTTTTTACAAATCGAAAATTAAACACGCCAATGCTTCTGAGCATAGAAAGGGAGAGGGATGCATGTCAGCATCACTAAAATTTTAAATTGATGCCACTGCCGACCCGATCCAAAAGTCCGTTTCCATGTAGCATTGGCCAAGGACAAAAAAAAGCAAAGACAAAACTAAAACGGGGGGAGTGTGCCACGTGTAGGCCTGACGTAGCGTCTTTGAATCCGCTCCTGGAAAGCTTGTTCTCACCGGACCCGTCGATATTTAAGATTTTTTCTTCGAATAATATTAATTTAATAGTATGTTACTCTATTAATTAACGTTTCATACCCTGCGAAAACCCCTTTCGTGGGTGCGAAAATCGATGTCATCTCCCGCTGGAGGCACCGCCCGCTTGAACAACTGTAGATTAAACAAAGCAAAAAATCTAATCTAATAGCATAATTAATAGTACATAGTTGCCAAAAAAATAATAAAATATATAACTAATAAAGAAATGTCTATATTTAATACCTAATAATATTTTGAATAAGATTATTTTTAATAGTAGCAATGGCCATCAATATCCGTAAACATCTTCTAATTTTATCATGTTTTGGCTATATTTTGAAAATTTATATCTTTCTCATATTCTAACTATAAAGATAATGATAAATCCTTGTAACATAACAGCACAAATTATACTATTAATTACAAATAAATATACATTATATATAATAGAGTAGACGTAGAATTTTACTTTTGATTTTATTTTTTAGGCATAACGACCACTCTCATTTTTTTGAATGATATAATTTTACTATATATAATAGAGCAGACTTAGAATTTCACTTTTGATTTTATTTCTTAGATATAACTACCACTCTCATTTTTTAATGATATAATTTTACTTACAAATTTTTTGTAATGTAATTTTACCCTTCACCTTGTTCTATAGGTGCATCAAAATTATTAAAAAAAAAAAATTGTGAGTGACGTTGCAGCAAAAACATTACAGGTAAAAGTACACTACAATAAATTCAAGGTCCTGAATACATTTGAGGAAAAAAAAAGATAGAGGTAACATTGTACATTTATCCTGTACAATACATTTTTTTGGAATTAAATTAATTTTTTATTATAAACTAAATTAAAAAATAAATCGTTCTTTATTTTAAGGATTATTGCTACTCATCATGCGAAAATTTTCCTATTCGCAATTAAAATCGTTGGTATGTTGAATTTTTAAAATAATTTTAACGTTTGAAATTTTATATAACCTTTGGCAAAAAAAATTCGTTATAAATTTTTTAACTCTCTGAGTGAAAATATCTCTTCCAAAATCTAATGTCAACCAAGACAAACTGAAACATATTCAACGCAATGTCATTTTAAAAAAAATAAAAATATAAAATATAAATAGGATTAAATAAATATAAGCAAAGTGTGGTGAGCACCTGCTGTTCTAGCCTTCCTCTCTTCCGCACTCCTTCCATCTTCTTCGCCTCTCTCTCGCTCTCTGTTTTTTCATTCTCCTTCTCTCTCTCTTTTCTTCTTTTTGTATAAATCACACATTTCTTCCTCTTCATCTTCCTTTCCTTCTCACCTCTAACCCTTAACCTACTTTTCTATTTTATATTTCCGGCTATGCTTCTGTGTTTTTGTGAATAGTATTATTGAGTTTCAGAGTCTTCGGCCTCTGGCAGGAGCTGTACAGTGAAGCTAATTAAAGGTATTTCCTCTTTCATTTCTTCAACGAAACTCTGAATCTAGACCTTTCTGCAATTGATTTACCAGCTGCGGTCTTAGATCTGCAGCCTCGTTCTTATTTTCCTCTTCGTTTTTTTTTTTGGCTTTTTGGATTATATCTTTATCCGATGCGATTTCAATTTAAGAGGAGAAAAGTTGAGGTTCTCTGGATCTGCTCCGAGCAAAAATTATTCCGATTGATTTTCATGTCTGCTAATTTTTTTGTGTATTTTGTTGTTGAATTGTTTATCTGCAGCCCGCTTAATTGTTCTCTTTCTCTCAATTTTTCCCCACCAATTCGGCAAATTCAAGTATAATTTTCTTAACGCTGACAACTATCAGATCTTGCCCTGCGAGATCAGTTGCTCCCTGAAATGTCTGTATGTAAGGGATAGGACTCTCTTGTGCAGAGAAGAAATTTCTTTTCGTGCTTTTGAGAAAGCTCAATCTGTTTAGCTCCGTGTTTAATAATTTATAAGCTATTTTTCATATTTATCTATATTTGTCTGTTTGACTTTATCTTATTTTGAGCTGTTCAAATCTTTATGCGCGTTTAGTATTTCTGATAAAATAATTAATCTAAAGCTCTGATAATTTCAAACCTGTATAATTTTACTCGTTTGTTTTTAAATTTTAAAATTATGTCCTAATTTTTTTTTTCTTTCTACCGTTTGGTTGTGAGTAGGTCTCGTTGATTGCCGAAATCAGGGAAGAATATGAACCATTGCGTGATCCAGCAGCAAAAAGTCGTCGCATCCCGTGAAGAAATGAGCAGCAGACACCCTGTGGTTTGTCCCAAACCGCGCCGCCTCGGCCTCCTAAACGTCGCGGTGAACGACCACCCTGCTAGGCTGTTCCGGTGGCATCTCAGGTAAAGTTTTCTCCGTATACACCCTTCTTACGCTGGTTCCTTCTCTCATGTATTCGAGATTCATAATTTTGAACGAATAATCTCGAATGAAATCATTTTGATTGAGCTTTGTCGGGCTTGTCTTCTTCTGCAGTTGCCAGGCAGATATAGCTGATTCAAAATCTGTGAGTGATCCTTTGGACCTCATCCTAACCAAGGTAGTCTCTTTTTCCATTGATTTCCTCCGTCATGATCTTTGATTAAATCCAAAAGGATCTTACAATATCGATTTATTCAATTTGGTTAATTGTTAACTTGAATTTTTTTTTCAATTAATTATATTTGTGAATTTGTGATTGCAGGGTGGTGGTATGGAACAATCGTGTACACAGGTAGCTTCGTCGCCCCCCTTTTTTTGCGGGTCACCACCAAGCAGAGTAGCTAACCCATTAATTCAAGATGCTCGATTTGGGGATGAGAAGATTTCCCCGCTCTCACCATCATCCAGGGTTCCTACCCCATCTGGGCTCTCATCGCCTCCTTCATCTTCCACAAGGAAAGGAGGCCGTGTTCGCTCCAACTTCGGAAACAATCCTGCTGTGAGAATCGAGGGATTCGATTGCCTTGACAGGGACAGGCGCAATTGCAGCATCCCTGCTCTGGCCTAGAATAGAATCCACATCTTGAGAGAGAGATCAAATTAGAACAAGAAGAAAAGCTTTTAGTAGTAGTCACCACCAGTAACCACACAGAATCTTTGTTAACCGGGAGAAGAATTTTGGAAGAGCAGAAGAGCGAAAGGAAAATATCTTTTGCCTATTGTAAATATATGTTCAGAAAGAAGTGTTTGTAAATGTCATGATGTTGTGTCCTGTAGGTATTATCCTTTGTAAGGCCAGATAGTCTGGTCAAGGAAGAAGTTCGAGAGGGGATTAGCCCTCTCTGAGTCTAGTGAGATCTTAGTAATGGGTATCATCCTCTTCATTGTAATTACGCGTCTTTGAGGGTGAAAACTAATAAATTTTTCATTTTGATATCTTTTCTTCGTGTCATTTGAAATGTAGGTAGCGGCTCAGGAAATCTGTACAAAGGTGGTTTATTTGGGTCGCCCAAGTTACTTGGTCTGTCTTTTGCAATGTGAACATTAAAAAGTTATGTAAAGAAGAGGTATTATTCTGTTGGCTTTGTCGCTGTGTTTAATGTTTGTCCCCTTCCTCCTCATTCTTCCTCTGCTGCTTTTGGTTCAGGAGCCGCAGGACTTCGCTTCTGTTTTACGCAAACTCGTCTGTGTGACTGAAAAACTTTATGTCATGCTGTTGGGAATGCGAGGATTCTTTTTCTTTACGGTTTCCCCTTTGTTTCTGAACGTTGGTACGTTTACTCGCTTTGACGGTTGTCTTGTGTTCCCGAGTTTCTTGACTTGTTTGCTCTTCTACAGCCGATTTTGGCTCCCAAAGCTGACCTCTTCTGCTCGGATATCGGTTTTATCCTTACCCTTTGTAAGAAATAAATGGCCCTTTTCTTTTGCCAACCATGGCTCTATTTATGTATTATAAAAAGAATAAGAAAAAACATTTTAGAGGTATTTATATTTTTTTTTAATTTTTAATCTGCTATCCATACGTTTTTGTCTAAATTAAATCTTTAATCTTGTCCTATTAATATTGTTAACCCTTACATAGAGACTAAAAATGCTAATAAAACAAAATCATAAGAGCTATTGTTTAAAAAAGTAAAATTAAATGATTTAATTAAGAGAAAAAATATATATAGATACTAAATTAAAAATTAAGAGAAGGTATAAGTCTTTCCAATATGGTTTTCTCTAAGAAAAAGGGTGTTTCAGTATTGAGACGTTTAAAATGTCTTTTTAATTAAAAATTATATATATATTTAATGAAAAATCCCATCTCATCTGCCTAGTAACATGCCACCTCAGATCTTTTAGATCCAATTCTTACTTACCCAGCAACTTAACAGACTTTAGGACATTATGAGCACATGAAAAAGTATTTCAGAGTGCTCTGAAAAAATTAATGAAGAAACATTAATTACTTCATAGGTGACTTATTTGCTCTGAATTTAACAGTCTTTATTATAAGATTTTGTTTATTGTCTACAAATAAGTTTATATAATTAGGAACGGACGTAGCAGTAAAGATTGAAAAAATAGAGGAAAGTAGGAAGTAAGAGAGGTGAAGAGGTAATGTTCCGTGTTAGTCAAGGCCGCGCCTCGGAGAACAACCGTTTAAACTTAAGGAAGTGCATTTACTTGAAAGATTTCAACCTCCAAGTTTGATAAGCTAATGGTAGATAAAATGACAGGGGATATCTGGATTCACCAAAAAAAAAAGGAATAAAATGATTAAAATTTTACAAATAGAAATGACATGGTTCTTTGTCTACCATTAGCTTGTTCTGCTGTTTCTCCAACATCTCTTTCATGCTGAAGATACACGCTTTCTTTATTCATTATTAAGCTCTTTGCCCCCAAGCCTCACAAGCCCACCCTGTTCTCTTGGTTGCTAGATTTAGAGATTGATGATCCGTGAATTTAGTTTCCTATATTTTAAATCTTTTAGGATTAAAATATAAATTAATAAATTAAATAACCAAATTAAAATATGGTATAAAAATAAAAGGAAAAATAGCATTTTAATTCAAACTATTTATGATTTATTAGTTGCGCAATTCATAATAAATTTTATATTAGATGTTCATATATACTGTGCCATAATTATGATTTTTGAGTCCCAAGACCAGCCCAAATTAAAAAAGCTTTAAAATTAAAAGTATACTTAATGTTAATTCATGAACATTCCAGAACAAGGGAAGAAGCCTTGGCCACCAAATCGAAGACCATATTGTCAAGTAGCTTGGAGATTAAGCTGGAGATCAGTCAAAATCACTGACTCTCCAAAATGTGAAAGTGGAGAAAGTGGCACCAGCGAAGCCGAAACGGTAGTTTCTTAAAAATAATGGAAGTAGAAATCAGGTAACCTCGAGGCATATACTTGAGCGTCCAACCTACATGACCCAAGACTTTAATTTGTTAAGGTCATGTCTAGGGCTGTTCATCTTGAACCATCCCGATTCCAATTAAATTAGGACGAGATGGTTCTGAACGGGACAAAAACAGAATGAGAGAAAAAAGAAATTGGGACAAGACAAAACGCGAGACGATTTCGTTCCATCCCATCTCGAATGCATGTATGTAATTCTTTTATTTTTTTTAATTGCATAATATTAAAATATTTAAAATGTATAATATCCCAAACCCTTATTTTTCTTTTTTGAATGCTGCACTCGCTCGCTCTCGCTCTATTCATCTTCAACGCTCTTTTGCTGCCCCTCACTAGATCGCTGCACTTTAGAAGCAAAATAGAAATTGTTGGATCAGTGATGTATTTGAGGGAGGGAGTACGATTGCGATGCAATCTTAAGTCCTATTTGATACGAAACATTGAAAATAAGAGATAAGGATTGAGATTGAGGTTGAAAACATATGTTAAAAGGATGCTTAGCATGAATAATTTCTTATCACATGGGATCACTTACTCTCATGGTATTCTTCAATCCCACATATATGGGTTTGTCTAATACCAAGTATCATATAATTACTTATACTAAATACGTTTTTAATATAGTTTTTCACTCTCAATTCTAATCATTATCTCTTATTTTCAATGTTTCGTACCAAACGAGACCTTAGTGTTCTTGGTTTCATGGGTTCATATAAATTTCTTGTTCTGCGTTTAAATTTCGGTTCCAAACTAGATATAATGGATTATAGGTTTTTCACCCCTTGTTGTGCGATTGAAAAATGGGGCCTGATGAGTGTATTCTTTTTTTTCGCCAGCCTGATGAGTGTATTGAATGATGGAATTTTAACTCTAGTAGATCACCTCATTGAAGAACGTTTGCTGCGTAACCCTTAATTTGATGTTGCTTCTTTTTCCTCTTTGTGTTTATTTATGCTTTCTGAGATTCCAGGGATTGGAAAACATCAAAATGCTACCATCAGATACATGTCAGGTATGGCTGAAATATCCTTCAACATCAGTATGATTTCATCATTAACCCTCCAACCCTCTCCCTCTTAGTCAATATGCAAATGCTTTTCTTCTTAATCCCATTTCTTCATTTATGGGACGACCTATTCTGTTTTTGTTTTGTTCCGGTCCCATTCGGAAGGGACACTTTCAGCACAGAACATGGGACGGAAATTCTGTCCTTTATGTGCTTTCAGGATAGGAATATCCTGATCTTATCCCTTGAATACTTCTAGTTGTTTTTTTCATCTTGTTGAATTTTATATGTGACTTTTTTTTCTCACGAATCGTAGCTATTCTTTTATTAGAAGCAATTTTTTTACACTATAATTGGATGCTAAATATGAATATTTTTTTTGAATGAGATTCCAACCATCAAATTCTGCATCAGTATGTACTATTGTCAATACTCTAATGTCCCAATGAGCATGCATCAACATTGGCATGTGACAATGGAGAGAAGACAACGATGAAGAAAACGCAAAGAGAGCTGAGAAGGGGGGAATGGCCAAGGCCAAATAGCCCCATATTCCCAAACTTTTTTTTTTTATATTTCAACTGAAATTTAAATAATATTAGAATTTTTTCTTTTTTAAAAAAATTACTTTCGTTTTTTCCTCAATTGATGTGGAGCTTACAAGGATGTGAAATTTGATGTGGACCTTACACGGAATGAGAGATAGGAAGGAAAAAGACAAATTTTATTCACTTTGGAAAAATAAGGGACGACTAAGTCACAACCTGATTAAAAGTTAAATGACTAAAAAAATTATTTTTCCCCACCATACATATGTCCTCTCAATATCCCATTATCTCCTTTTTTTTCCCTCTTAGAATCGCATATCCGTAGTCGGATCTAAAAATAAATAATTTAGATTTAATATTTTAAAAAAATAATTATTATTAAAATATTTTATAAATTATTCTATTTTTTATATTGAAGATCATTACATGTTATTGTAAAAAATTTTAATAATTATATTTCTTCCTTGGAGTTTATAGCAAATAAATTTCCCTAAAACCAAAATCAGGCCTATATCTATCTTCAATTTTTCTTACATAGGGGTATTTCGGTCTTTTCAACAAAACTTTGAAAACTCTAACTAGGCTTCTTAGTCTATTAAATATTTGTTAAAAGTGTGCGCTTGAATTTAAATTTTAATATTTGGGTGGAATTTAATTGGGATTTTTCCACTGCATATTGCTATTATTTTTGAAATATTTAACTATAGAGATACAGATGAAAAAAATATCATGTTATAATCATTCCAAGTTTTTATTTAAAAAATTAAAAGAAAATCTGTATAAAACAAAGATGAAAAAAATGAGTGAATTTGATTTACATTCAAATTCCCAGAAAGGTCACAAACGTGTTATTTTTTTAGATTAGGCTAGGATAACAATTATTCTAAGATAACTAGTTATTATATATCTCTATTATTCATATACTTTGCTTAGTTTCTATAAATCCTCAGATAGAATTATGACGTTCAATTCGTATTTTCCTCTTAAAAGAGCACAGTCTCATGCATCTTTCCAAGTTTCACCTGTATATGATGGAAGGCTTGATCCAAGATTGCTTCCAGATCACAGTTAAAGTTACTCGGCAGGTTATTTTTCCTGACACAGCAGCTCCTCGAGCAGCATATTTTCCAGTATTTCACTCTTCTTTCGTTATTTCATGTGAAGAATTTATTCGAGATGTTCCACGATTTCTTCGCACAAACTTGTCTAATTACCTTTGTGAACAACACATTGAGACGGTGGCTCCTGGACTAGCATCTCACTCTCAAGAAACACTCCTACGTTGTAGTTCTCTCGATGATGGAACTGAAACAACGTCGTCCCCGTCGTCTCGTCTTCGTCATCGTCAGTTGATACCTTTACTGGTTCACGTTCAGTTTATTTCTGATCCGGAATTGACGATAGAGACGAGAGACACTGCTTGGGCCACAGATGAATCTCTGCGACACATATATTTCATACCAGCAGCAGAAGCCTCCATTGCATCACTTAGGAAACGAGATATTTCTAGTGACGACGTGACACGGATTGGACCATGCAGTGTTTGTTTAGATGCTTTTGATGAAGGAGTTGTCTCAGTAATGCCGTGCAGTCATATTTATCATAGCGATTGTATTATTAAAT